TTCAAAATAACAAAAAATAAAACTAATAAAAAACTAATTAAACTAATAAAAACAATTTAAAAACTAATAAAAACAATTTAAAAACTAATAAAAGCACATGTTTCAGAAGGAGTTCATGTTTCATTTGTTGGCATCAGGACCAGGTGCAACACGGAGGAGCGGTGGGGCTAAACTTCACACGCAAACACGCGCGCGCACACAAGGACCAGGATGACGTCATCGGTCTTTCACGGAAGTGGCTTCAGAGAGAGAGGGGAGGAGGAAGGAAAGAGAGAAGAAGAAGAAGAAGTTTCTTCTGTAAAGAAGTTCAGGCTGTCTGTAGGAAGTGTGGCGGCGGAAACATCGACGTGTTGTTGTGTTTTTGTTGTGTTTTTGTGTGAAGGACAGAAGTGTGAGCGGCGGCTCGTGAGGCGGGAGAGGACACACAACTTCTGGTGAGTTGTTGGCTAAAAGTTGACCCACCGAACCGAACCGAACCGAACCGAGGAGGTTCTGGACCCACGGTGCTGTGCGTCAGTCTGCTTTACTCACACAGAACCTGTTAAACTCTGGTTCTGCTTTAAGACACTGAGGAAGAGGAGGAGGAGGAGGAGGAAGGTGTCCAGCTGTAAACACATTAAATTAATCATTAACTTCACTTTGCACAATTCTTTCCTCAGGCTTTACTATCCGAGTCCAAAACCTCAATAACTGCACGTGAAGCATGTAACTTTTATAAAAATAGTTTAAAATAATGAGACCTTATTTTCTTATAACCCAACATTCTTAAAAGACTAATAAAATTTATTATTTAAAAAAGTACACAAACTGTTTTAAGAGTCCAGATATTTTTACTTTGTTTTCCACATTAAACCAGAACATGATGCATGGTTTTATAGTTAGTTTTTTACATTATTTTTGATGTTTATTTCACCTCAGACACATGAACACAACTTATTTAGTGGTTTTTGTTGTGTTTTGTGTGTTATTAATGTCTTTGTTATGTTGACACCTCATCGATTTCTGACTATACCAAGAAATGAAACATTTTTTATGTTTCTTTATTCTTTTTTAACCGTTTAAAAGTTGTGGAGCAGAAAGCTGCAGCTGCAAAAACTGTCCATCTAACCAAGTTTTAAAACCTTATATCAGCCAAAAACTGTAAAAACTGTAAAAACTGTCCATCTAACCAAGTTTTAAAACCTTATATCAGCCAAAAACTGTAAAAACTGTAAACACTGTCCATCTAACCAAGGTTTAAACCTTATATCAGCCAAAAACTGTAAAAACTGTAAACACTGTCCATCTAACCAAGGTTTAAACCTTATATCAGCCAAAAACTGTAAACACTGTCCATCTAACCAAGGTTTAAACCTTATATCAGCCAAAAACTGTAAAAACTGTAAACACTGTCCATCTAACCAAGGTTTAAACATTATATCAGCCAAAAACTGTAAAAACTGTAAAAACTGTCCATCTAACCAAGGTTTAAACCTTATAT